AAAAAAAAAAAAAAAAAAAAAAAAGAGGATACGTCCTAATACTTTTAATAAAGGAACAAAATTTATCTTTTTTTTTCTTTTTTCTAGAAGGATGCATACTTGAAGCCAAAGTATTAATACTTCCAGTAGAAGCAGATGCATTAATTGACGTGATTTGCATTCGAGTATTGATTCATATGATATGCATTGCTATTAGGTTATTGTGCATGTGAACCGTTAAAAGATTTCTAATTATCCTCTAGTGTTGAACTTGTCTAGATTGAGAAGGGTCCATATAGGTATCTTGGTAGATAGCTAATTGAGGTATGCTCCCTCACGATTATGATTATTGCATTGTATCAAGACATGATTCGTATACATGCCAAAGTTGGAACGATTACGATATCGTGTCTCACCTGCCTACAATAACATGGAATAATAAAAAGCATACTTGGATTATCTGATGATTAAGATAAACTTAGATGAATGGGGTTATCTGAATCAACAGTAAGAATAACTCAGTCACAAACATAAACAAGAGAAGATTGGATAATATTATTGAATATTTAATTAATTTTATAATTTTACAAATAATCATAAATTAACCGATTTTAAACAAATCTGGCAAAACAAATACCTAAAAATAGTCGGAAAAAATCTTTATTTAACTATTTTAAAATAATCAAATTCTTCAAACATCTCCTTCAACTTATTGTTGTTTGTCCTGAGTTCCTAAAACTCAGCAAGTTCTTCAGGCAATTTTTGAAATGGATTCTAGAGACTTTGTCAACAAATTAGCAAGTTGATTTCGGGTACCACAAAATAATAAATTAACTGTTCCTTATTTTGTAAGATCTTGAAGAGAGTGTTAATCTCATGTGTTTGGAAAGTCCATGTAGAACTGAAGTTTTTTCCTTATTTTGTAAGATCTCGAAGAGAGTGTTAATCTCATGTGTTTGGAAAGTCCACCTAGAACTGAATTTTTTTGAATAGCTTAATAGTTGAAGTATTATCAGACACGAGCTTTGTTCCTTCTATTTGAGAGTGACCAATCTCTTTGAGTATCCTCCCCATCCAAACAGCTTGACATGCACAGACATTAGCACCAACAAACTCAGCTTTTGTAGTTGATAAGGTGACTATAGTTACGAGAAGACCAAGCTACTACTTCTTCACTCAACATAAACACATAGTCTGAAGTACTCTTGTTATCTTCCATGTCTCCGGCATAGTCACTTAAAACCCTTTTAGCTCCATTTCTTTTGATGAAGAGTGTCTTCTCACTATAACTGTTTTTGAATCCTCTTTAATGAAGTAGAATTCTATTCGATTAAGCTGCATAGTCACTTAAAACCCTTTTAGCTCCATTTCTTTTGATGAGGAGTGTCTTCTCACTATAACTGTTTTTGAATCCTTCTTTAATGAAGCAGGATTCTATTCGATTAAGCTAGGTTCTAGGTGCTTGTTTTAATCCGTAGAGAGCCTTTTGGAGTTTGTACACCTCTCCTCACTTCCCTTTTTCTCATGACCCCTTTTTCTCATGACCTTTGGGTTGTTCAATAAAAATATTTTCTTTTAACTCGCCATATAAAAAAGTGATTTGACATCTAACTGATAGTGTTTCCAACATTTTTGGGCTGCAAAAGCAATGGTCATTCTCACAGTATCCATTCTGGCCACAGGTGCGTACACTTCCGTACAATCAATTCTACACTCGTGTAGCCTTTTACAACCAATCTTGCTTTGTATTAATCAACTTTTCTAGACTCATTTAGCTTGGTTTATAAATTCAACTCATTTAGCTTGGTTTATAAATTCATTTCACTCCTATTTTCTTTGCTCCATTCGATAGAACCACCAAGTTCCATGTTTTGATTTGTTTCAATGGATTTGATTTCTTCATCCATAGTCAATTTCCATTTTGGGCTTTTAACAGCTTCCTCAAAATTTATCAGATCTGAAATCATTAAGAATATCATATTTTCTTTCTCCTCTTCAGGTTCAGATAAACCTTTACCAGAATTATAATATGTTCACTATAGAGGTGGATGTCAATTTCTCCCCTCCCTTATTGTCAAATCTAACTGGTTCAATTGTTCCAGCAACCGGTTCAATCGTTTCTTCTGTGATTTCCTCTTCTTTGTTTTCAGCAACTGGTTCAATTGTTTCAACAACTAGTTTAGTCATTTTTTCCGTGACTTCTCCTTCTTCGGCTATGTTCTCATCAATTTCAATATTTTTCTAATCCAATTTTGTTTCACCTTCAAAAAAATTTCAATCTCATTCATGATCTTCTTTGAAAGCTACATTATGACTTACTATGATTTTATTTGTAATTGGATCAAATATTCTATAGCCTTTGGATTTGCTGCTGACTCCAAATAAAACACATGTTCCACTTTTATCTTCAAGTTTACTTCTCTTGGCATCTGGAATATGGACATGTTGCACAAATCCAAAAACTCTGAAATAATTTACTGATGGTTTCACTCCGCTCCAAGCCACTTCTGGTGTTATGTCTTTTACTGCAAGAGTGGACGATCGACTCAAAATGTGAATCATCCACCTGACTTCTTCAGGCCAGAAATTTTTAGGCACTTTCTTCTATGTCAGCATAGCTCTTACTAAGTTCATTACAATGCGGTTTTTGTGTTCGGCTACACCATTTTGTTGTGGCGTATATGCTGTGGTCAATTGTCTCTTCACTCCATGCTGTTTGCAAAAATCGTTGAATTCTGCAGAGTTGAATTCTCGTCCTCTATCTGTCCTTGCACATTTTATAGGCGTTCCAATTTTCTTTTCCACCCTTGCTTTGAAACATTTGAAAGGATAAAATATTTCTGATTCTTTCTCCAAGAAAATAACTTCATGTCTTCCTTGAAAAATCATCTATAAAGCACAATAAGTACTTTTTTTTTTTTTTTTTGCT